AGAGAGAGAGAGAGAGAGAGAGAGAGAGAGAGAGAATTAGTTTAATAACAAACATCAAAACTATTGCTTAAGCCCTCAAAGGCATTAAGAAAAATAAAATTTACGCCGAAATTCTATATACAGAATGCATTACCAAATCTTCCCTGTATTGCAAAGCATCGAGATTTATATTGACAAATGTAGCATGCTCGTTAGCCGTCTCTGATTCCTACATATTCTCCAAATGTTATCATAAATTGTCATAAATTCTATATATTATTGTATTTATGCGCCAATAAGAGTGAGAGTTGATTATATTTCTACATTTAAGAAAAATCTTTAATCAACTAAAAATCTAAAGCTTTTCCGTTCAATAAAATAATATTCCGATAATAAATAAGTCATTTAAACAACAATAAGAAAATGTTTGATAAAATAGAAATCCTATTCGCATAACATTCACACGATTGCCACACAAGAAATATGTTTAACTTTTTTGTATATTCACCACAAAATTAAGACATTAAATAGTTGTGCAAACATTGGGATTATCTGTGATTTGTTTGCATTTCATTCAACACACACTCTGTGGATGGGAAACACAAATATGTCTCAAACAATATCGATGTTATCATGACATCCATCAAGAATATTGAGTCCCACTCTAAAACATAACACATTGACACCCATTTCACTCGTATGGTCGGCCACTTAACACATACACACTTTGTTAATCAAATTATACATTATATGTATGTTTAAAACAAATGACAATTTGTGACAAAACTCTAAAACAAAGTTTTATCAAATATAAAGTTAAAGAATAGTGAAGTGAATACAAACCTGATTGACATCATTGACGTCCTTATCCCTCGTCTCTCAATTAAACTCTTGTTTTGTATTGAATTTGAATGAATCAATGCTTTTATCGTTCTTTAAGGTAAGGTCTGAAGCGATGGTAAAGTGAATTCATCTCAGAATGAAAACAATCGCACAAAACGTTTGACACAAAACACGAAGTTTTAATGGTCTGAATGCGTGACTTCGCTATAGTGTTGAGACAAACACTGGAAACAAGACTAAAACTCAAATGTTTTGAATGCTATGAAACGCATAGCGAGTCTCACACTCTGTATCACTGTGTGAGAGCCAGCATAACAACCGACAGCATCTCTGACACACCTCCGATCCAATCACATCCCTTTCCATCCTATATATAGCACACTTCACTCACACTCTCATACTTTTCCATTAACTTTCTGACCATCTTTTCGTTTCGTTGGGGCCTTTCGGGCGGCAAATGCTGTCAAATACACACAAAATACTAGAGACCAGTATTTTTAAATCATAAGAAATCGTACAAAAAAGTGACCATTTAATCATTGATATCACTATTTTGTGTATATTTGGTCACGTTTTGCCACATTTGCAAATAAATAAATACAACAATAGTATTGCAGTCATATGATCTGCACAGGGAGGTCTTTTAATGCGACAAATGCTATACCATTATTACTCACATCAAAAATTTAATTTTCAAAATCACCCACAATAAAATGAATTATCGAAAATTTAAAAATAATGTATACTTTTTTCCCTCACAAGTTTCGTTAGTGACCATGAACTTTGTGAAGTATTGATTTTGAAAATTGACCTGCTACGTTTAAATTGGGATGGCTTTAATGCGCTATAACCCCCTAACGGTGCAAAACAGCCAGGGGGTTTAATCTGAGATAGCCAAAATATCCATTCCATGGTAAGAAAATTTTGAAAAAATTAATAAATAGCATCAAGATAAAAATGAGACAAGAATCCGTTTGAATTCAATTATGAAAACGATTGTATAAATTCATACAAAACTCATATAATTTTTGACACAATTAATAAATATAATTCACAATATATTATTATATATTTTATATACAAGGTCAATTAATAGTAGGATTTGTATGATAATTGATCATTTTTGATTGAATGTAAAAAGGGTTGACGTTTGTTGAGGATTATAAGCCAATAGCAAAGAATTTACATAATGGTTATTTCTCTAAACTGTTAGCTCTTTTTGTAACAATTTAGAGAAATCACCATTATGTAATAATATTATGAGTTTTAATTAAGCAAATCATTAAATGATTAAACAATAATTTTAGTGAAAAATATTATATTTTATTTGTAAAAGTGATGCAAAAAACAATTGAATCATTATTTTTCAAAATAACTGAATAAATATGTTGTTAACAGATATTCATAAACAATAAATATTTTTTATAAGATTTACATTCAAAATGAAATAGCAATTTAAATGGCACTTAATTTAGGCTGTGTTTGACTATTAGTTTTCATACAAATTTCATATATTTATATATATTTAAAAATTAATTTATACTTTGAGCGCAAAATAAACAAATTCTTTAGATATTTAAACATTTTGTGACAATATTTTCAATATAGATATGAGACAAACAGAACACAATATTATTTATACAAATGTACTGTAAGTCAGAAAATCATAATTTGATTGCAATATAAGTGATAAAAACTTGTCTCTCAAAAATTGTTTCCAAAAAATATCCTAATTATAAACCATTCATTCATTCAATTCCTATATTTTGAATATAAATCATTTGACTATCATTTTAATGGGAGAGAATTGAGTCAATATATGCTTTGCGAACAATACATCATCTATTCATTAAATAACAACATGAGAGAGAGAGAGAGAGCTTGTGTGGCTTAAATCAAATACTAAATATAATAACTAATAAATAAATTTAGTTTCAATAAATTGATACAAAAATGTTAATACATGAGAGAGAGGGAGGGGGAGAGAGAGAAGAAAGAAATAGTTATCAATGAATACTTTTGATTTTAGTAATGAATTATAAAATGCATAATTAATGCGTTTGTTATAAATGATATAAAATGAGATTTACTTGACTTCCAAATAATAACTTAAAATCTAATCAAAAATAATTTAAAATCTAATAAAACATAATAATCAAAGAATTTGAGATTATAATCACTAATTAAAACAATTAATGAATTGTTTACAAATGAATAGATATTTTAAAGCATTTTCTAAACATTATATATCAATAAACTTAATGTTAATCTCAACTCTTATTTAGTATTATTATTTATAATTGCATTTAAATTGTAATCCAAATTAAAATAAAAATTATTTTTATCACAATTAGAGCCAAAAATATATGTATAGAGAGTCAGATGTTGTGGGAAATGGGGACTGGAATTGAAAAAAATAAATTTTATACTTAAATACAAATTTAAAATATTAATTGAATTTCTTTTGTGTTAAGTCTAGTGTTGATGTCTAAGACCTTGCGATGACTGTTGGGATGTATTGTCCGACTTATCGTCAATAGTTGTATCGTCAGCGCCGGTACTGTCGTTATACTTGTTGAAGGCTCTGCCAAATGACTGAGTGGTGGACTGCGGGGACGATGTGTCCATCTGTGCGGCGAACAGTAGTCGCTGTTTGTTGAGTGGGGGACCGATCACACTGAGCAGCACCGGCAGGAATATCAGACTGTGAAGCGTTCCGAACGCTATGATTCCCAAATACATCCGGAAGTAAAACACACGAAATATCTTGGATTTGGCGAACGCCAGGATTAGGATTCCGCAGTCCGTTAACGTTATGCCCGACAGAATCTGCAATACAATACAAACAACTCGTTATTCAGCCCATTCAACACATTGTGGTAATCACTAGTATATCAAACGCACCGAAGTTCCCATTTTGGCCAACGACTCCTTCGCCCGTAACACACGTGTCGGCGCCGAACAAATGGCATAACAGCGGACTAAATGTGAACAAAACTCGACTGATATTCCGACCCCCTATTGGTAGCGATCAAAACAAATTAATTACAAATTGACAAAAACAAAGCCTCAGGCGAATGGCAGAAACACTGACCACAACTAGATTGACGAGAGAGATGGCGTTAAGACTGATGTCCCACCACCTCATCATTGCCATCAGATCAATGATAATCATAACGATAGTTAGCGCCACAATCAGTGCTGAGTATATGTCGAGTCCAAGGAATAGATAAGTGACTATAAAGATGGCGCCAATCGATATGCTTAGGCTTCGGATGGTGTCCGTCCACATCGTCAGGTACTGCTCGTAGAATACGTCGGGGAAACTGTACGGCCGAACCAACACATCCTTATTATTGGTTGTGTTTCTCAGTTTTTCGGTCAATATGTCGGCAATAATACGCGAATATCTCAATGACTCGTAAAAGTCTTCGGATGTTTTCAGTGTTGTCCGGTATGACATCAAATAAGTAGCTATGGATTACATTCAATACAATGTTATTTATAGTTCAAAACATAAATATCAATCAAATTACTTTTAACGTTTCCGTCGGCATATAGGCGGACGGCGTCGTCGAATTGGCCGAGACCTCCCTTCGGGCACTTGGCGTTCGGCGAATGCCGTAAGAAAAATGGCAAATTCTCGGTGAAATTAGAGCCGTACGGACGGCTCTTACTATCCCAACAACGATCGTTACAATTGCTTTCTCCTAAAATACATTATCATAACAATCAGACGTCAAACGTATACAACAAAATGCAAGACATGTCATACCTTTATAACATTGACTATCATTAGCGTATTTGTAACAACACTCGGGACTCGTTATATATCCGACGTAACTGTCCAGCCATGGAAGGGGTTTAGACTGAATATAAGTCCTGTCATAAGATAATAGTAATGTTAACATTTCAATCGCAATACAATTTCTACAAACATACAAATTAGACTTCTCTGCCATATATGCCAAGAGTGTGGGCAACGAGTCTCTGTCACAATCGGTGAGAGAGCACATGGCGTTCTGGGAATCATTACGAGTGTAATCATAGCCTTCGGTGATCATGAAGTAGACGGGAGGGCCGACAACGAAATACTTCTGGTAGAAATCAAAGTAGTTAATCATATACGAGTCTTCCGGCATTGACAGCTCCTGTTCCAGTCCGATGTGCAGCTTATCCAACACAGCGATACTACTGCAAAGCCAGGCGCCAAAACCCAACAGCACTAGTATTCGCACGTTATCTTTCATGAGGAACGGCGAGTAAATATCTCTGAAGAAGGTGTACAACAGTCCCTCTTTGCCACCAATGGCCGGGTGTTTGTCCGACTTCTTAGAGCCCCGAACGCACCAAAGGATGTCTAATCGGTTGTCTAATTGGCGTTTAGTGTCTAACGCGAAGAGTCCGAGAAAACATGTCATTTGTAGGAAAAAATTGATGATTAGTGCGACGCCAGCGTAGAGGGCAAACATCCTCATCGCCGGCATCTCTGTCAGAGTGCCGATGAAGAAACACGAAGACATCGACAACGACGACAACATCATACTCGGCGCCACTTCGCCCACCACTCGACCGATTTGGTCCACCAATTGCTCCTCCGGTCGCCGTTCGTCTCGCTATTCAATTCATATATATATTTATTATTAAGAACACAAAACATACACTAAAAGTACAAAACATGCCGACAATGAACACACGCTTACCTGAAAACTCTGGACTAAAATGAAAATATTATCGACGCCGACCGCCAACACGAGGAACGGTATGACTTCGACGACAATAAGAGTGGCCGGAATGGAGAAGTAGAAGAAGAAGCCGAGCGATGCCAACACAGACAAGAGGACAACTGTGACGCCAACGAAACCCAATGAGAAGCGCGCGTCCAATAGGATTGTGGAGCACTTGTTGAGGTCTCCGAGAGCCAGAAGAATGTATATAAACATTATTAGATAACTGACGGCAACGGTCACGATATCGGACCGCGACTGACGATCCAATTCGTCTTCGATAGAGCGCTCGGCTTTGTAGGCAATGTTCATCACATCGGATGAGTGGTTGGCCACCACTTCCAGGAACTGTTTCTCCCATACAATGGCTTTGCGATTCTCTTTGGGGTTGTTGTGGTTTTTAACGGGTATTGTAATGATAAGAGCGGTGGCCTTTGTGTACTCATCGCCTTCAAAGCCTCCGAGCGCTACTCCGGGATAGACTAATGGTATGCCATTGGGTTTGAAGCACGAGTTGTTTACATTCTTGTCGTCAGTATAAGTGGGACTCCTATTCATACGATTAACACAGAAAAATAAATTTCAAGTTTAGAAAAACTAATACAAATAAAACCAGTTTTTTGTAAATACTATTAAAATTCATATCAATTACTGCATCAATAGTTTATAACAAACTTATAACTCATTCCTCACACTAGAGTTCACTACAAGATTGTGACAAACAAATGGATCAGATTGAAGGTGACATTACATACCTCGAACAGTATACCGCTTTGGCCAACGAGTTATTCTTCATGATCTCCGCTAAACTGTCCAAATAGTAGGTGAATATGGATTGTGTGGCGCAGACACCACCCAAAGGCTTATAACAGATATCATTCAAATGAATCCATTCATTGGTCTCTTCGTCGATAGCAATGGTTTGTAACACTTTTTGTTGCAATTCAAACGCCTCGACGAGGAATGTCTGGTTGAATACCGGACCAAATGTGTAGACCTCGTCATCAATGGTGGCGTTGAAGAAGTGGTCTCTGATTTTAGGCTCAATGATTAACTGCTCGATGCGATAAAATTTCCAGAAGTTCTCATTGAAGTATTCCATATCACGTCTGGCAGGACTGCCCGCCGGGACCCACAGGTCCACGGGATCGGTGGTCACTTGCCATGAAGTAAACACACCCAAAGCCAGGTATCCGCTCACAAACAATGAGCTAATGATAACAATCCACGGATTTCGGGCCACAAAAGTGCCCCAATTTCGAAAAATCTGCTCAAAGAATCGCTCCAATCGGATACCAATGGCCAGATTTGCCGAATGAATCGACTCTAAGGGCTGAATAATGTCTAATTGGGCGCACATGTGAATGTCTGGACTGGACGGCGGCGTGTCTTTCGTCACCTGATAGTTCCCGTCGACCGAGATTTCAGATCTCAAGGGCTTTGACTCCATGAGAGTATCGCCCGATTCGATGTGTGACAAAGTGGTCGGCCTTTTGGCCATATTGTGACCGGGAATGCATTCCGCACTCGAACTCGACGTACGGCTACTCATATTCACTGAAGGATAGGATAACAAAACAAATTAGATTCAATAATAAACGGCAAAACAAACACAAAAAACTCACTTTTCTTGTCGTTTCTCATCGAATAGACGGCGAAGTATATGAAGACAGAGGCGGCTATTATTAAGTATAGTATAAGTGCCGCAGCCGTAGTGGCGCTCATATTCATGACAGTCACCGGAGGGGACTTCACAGGCAATTGCGGCGGGTTTTCCAATAACTGGGAAACAGAAGACTTATCGCCCGTTAGTCCGTCTTTCACCTCATGTGCCGATTCGGAGTCGGGTTTACGATTCGGACAATCAGTATAACTGCACTTTTGTTCGCCGGGCGGGGCGTCGGCGCACGAGAGGGCCGACACATCCAATGGATGCATAACACGGCCAGCGATGGACAGGTTTCGGTCGTTAGAGAACACGTAATTGATCTGATAGGGAGAGTGTCCGCCGTTGTCGTGGGAGAGACCCATGTATTCGAGCCAACGATTGCCGTTACAGGCCTTTGAGCCCCATTTGCCGCACATCAGGTCCATAATCGAGGTGCCGGCGGCCGCTCCGGGCAAACCCCGACACGACTCGTAGAGATTGTCGGAGTAGTCTTTACTCATATAATAAGTCACTTCATCGACGCGCACGAGTCCCGGGTGTTCGGCCTCTTCGGCCACATAAGGGCTGCTTTTGGTGACCGCTATGAACAGAGACTGACGGCCCGAACACGTCATGTGACAGAAGTTCTTACGCCAGTTGTAGAGACAGGAGGGACAGCGGTTTAGCAACATCTTCGGCAACTCGTATGACTCGGACAACAGTTGCAGCGACTCGTAGTCACAGCACAGGAGTGGGTCGTCATCTTCGGCGCCAATCAGGTCCGGACACGTCTCGCGCAGCAGTTCTAAGGCCTCAGTGTTGTTGAGCCGTTGCGGCCGTTTTGGTCGCACACACGGGATGTTGGCCTCACCCGCGATGCCGGACATGAGTCCACACGACAGGCTGTTGTCGAGGACACAGAAGCCGTGGTGGAGGTCGTGGTCTGTGGGCTCGAGAACGGCGGCCAACGACTGGTCGCCGATTGTGTGGCCAACGGTCACGACGAGGACGACGAGTGTTTGGATGAGTGATGTCTTCATGGCTTAACTGATCACTGATTCATGTTTTGCAGCATTTAATGAGTTTATGTTTCAATGTTTCACTCAATACTGAAACACAGTTTCAATCATTTAATGAACGCTTGTATTGACTGTTGTGTTGAGTTGTATTGAATGGTGTATTGAATGGTGTATTGAGATAGAGGTCTAGTGTTTGAACTTCTCATAGGATTGCCATTCAATACAGTATTGAATACACAATCGCAACAACACCTCAATAACAGCAATAACAGCCATATCTCCCTCCCTGTGCTCTCCAGCCGTACCTATCGCTCCCTCTCTCGTCTATACGTATGTATGAGTGCTCTATAGCCATGAGTGCCTCAAACAAACCCATACCCAACACATCCTTATCGGATGCCATACACATAGCCTTCATTCAAACCTGAGCTGCACTTCATATACAGGCAAACCTCATAGCCTTCAACACTCACTATAAACCACTTTTTGTGTGTATGTATGCCATCGGCAGCCACTCATTAGCTGCTTCTCCGCCACGATTTACACCGACCATACCTTTCCTCCCTTTCCTCACATTCATTACAAGGAAGAGAGAGAGAGAGAGAGAGAATTTAGTGATGAAAACAATTAACTGTTATGTGTTTGAAAATGAAAATATGTGACAATAATTTAATACATGATTTGATATCTACTTCATAATAAAACATTTGACGCTTATATTGATTACACACTTCCTTACAATCCCAA